CTCCTCTCCCCTTCACAAGGCAGCCAGTTAGTTGCTTTCGTACCAGAGGAACACCCCCAGCAACGACCCACTCCACTGCTCTCCCAACAACACCCACTCCTCTCCTCTCCTCTCCCCTTCACAAGGCAGCCAGTTAGTTGCTTTCGTACCAGAGGAACACCCCCAGCAACGACCCACTCCACTGCTCTCCCAACAACACCCACTCCTCTCCTCTCCTCTCCCCTTCACAAGGCAGCCAGTTAGTTGCTTTCGTACCAGAGGAACACCCCCAGCAACGACCCACTCCACTGCTCTCCCAACAACACCCACTCCTCTCCTCTCCTCTCCCCTTCACAAGGCAGCCAGTTAGTTGCTTTCGTACCAGAGGAACACCCCCAGCAACGACCCACTCCACTGCTCTCCCAACAACACCCACTCCTCTCCTCTCCTCTCCCCTTCACAAGGCAGCCAGTTAGTTGCTTTCGTACCAGAGGAACACCCCCAGCAACGACCCACTCCACTGCTCTCCCAACAACACCCACTCCTCTCCTCTCCTCTCCCCTTCACAAGGCAGCCAGTTAGTTGCTTTCGTACCAGAGGAACACCCCCAGCAACGACCCACTCCACTGCTCTCCCAACAACACCCACTCCTCTCCTCTCCTCTCCCCTTCACAAGGCAGCCAGTTAGTTGCTTTCGTACCAGAGGAACACCCCCAGCAACGACCCACTCCACTGCTCTCCCAACAACACCCACTCCTCTCCTCTCCTCTCCCCTTCACAAGGCAGCCAGTTAGTTGCTTTCGTACCAGAGGAACACCCCCAGCAACGACCCACTCCACTGCTCTCCCAACAACACCCACTCCTCTCCTCTCCTCTCCCCTTCACAAGGCAGCCAGTTAGTTGCTTTCGTACCAGAGGAACACCCCCAGCAACGACCCACTCCACTGCTCTCCCAACAACACCCACTCCTCTCCTCTCCTCTCCCCTTCACAAGGCAGCCAGTTAGTTGCTTTCGTACCAGAGGAACACCCCCAGCAACGACCCACTCCACTGCTCTCCCAACAACACCCACTCCTCTCCTCTCCTCTCCCCTTCACAAGGCAGCCAGTTAGTTGCTTTCGTACCAGAGGAACACCCCCAGCAACGACCCACTCCACTGCTCTCCCAACAACACCCACTCCTCTCCTCTCCTCTCCCCTTCACAAGGCAGCCAGTTAGTTGCTTTCGTACCAGAGGAACACCCCCAGCAACGACCCACTCCACTGCTCTCCCAACAACACCCACTCCTCTCCTCTCCTCTCCCCTTCACAAGGCAGCCAGTTAGTTGCTTTCGTACCAGAGGAACACCCCCAGCAACGACCCACTCCACTGCTCTCCCAACAACACCCACTCCTCTCCTCTCCTCTCCCCTTCACAAGGCAGCCAGTTAGTTGCTTTCGTACCAGAGGAACACCCCCAGCAACGACCCACTCCACTGCTCTCCCAACAACACCCACTCCTCTCCTCTCCTCTCCCCTTCACAAGGCAGCCAGTTAGTTGCTTTCGTACCAGAGGAACACCCCCAGCAACGACCCACTCCACTGCTCTCCCAACAACACCCACTCCTCTCCTCTCCTCTCCCCTTCACAAGGCAGCCAGTTAGTTGCTTTCGTACCAGAGGAACACCCCCAGCAACGACCCACTCCACTGCTCTCCCAACAACACCCACTCCTCTCCTCTCCTCTCCCCTTCACAAGGCAGCCAGTTAGTTGCTTTCGTACCAGAGGAACACCCCCAGCAACGACCCACTCCACTGCTCTCCCAACAACACCCACTCCTCTCCTCTCCTCTCCCCTTCACAAGGCAGCCAGTTAGTTGCTTTCGTACCAGAGGAACACCCCCAGCAACGACCCACTCCACTGCTCTCCCAACAACACCCACTCCTCTCCTCTCCTCTCCCCTTCACAAGGCAGCCAGTTAGTTGCTTTCGTACCAGAGGAACACCCCCAGCAACGACCCACTCCACTGCTCTCCCAACAACACCCACTCCTCTCCTCTCCTCTCCCCTTCACAAGGCAGCCAGTTAGTTGCTTTCGTACCAGAGGAACACCCCCAGCAACGACCCACTCCACTGCTCTCCCAACAACACCCACTCCTCTCCTCTCCTCTCCCCTTCACAAGGCAGCCAGTTAGTTGCTTTCGTACCAGAGGAACACCCCCAGCAACGACCCACTCCACTGCTCTCCCAACAACACCCACTCCTCTCCTCTCCTCTCCCCTTCACAAGGCAGCCAGTTAGTTGCTTTCGTACCAGAGGAACACCCCCAGCAACGACCCACTCCACTGCTCTCCCAACAACACCCACTCCTCTCCTCTCCTCTCCCCTTCACAAGGCAGCCAGTTAGTTGCTTTCGTACCAGAGGAACACCCCCAGCAACGACCCACTCCACTGCTCTCCCAACAACACCCACTCCTCTCCTCTCCTCTCCCCTTCACAAGGCAGCCAGTTAGTTGCTTTCGTACCAGAGGAACACCCCCAGCAACGACCCACTCCACTGCTCTCCCAACAACACCCACTCCTCTCCTCTCCTCTCCCCTTCACAAGGCAGCCAGTTAGTTGCTTTCGTACCAGAGGAACACCCCCAGCAACGACCCACTCCACTGCTCTCCCAACAACACCCACTCCTCTCCTCTCCTCTCCCCTTCACAAGGCAGCCAGTTAGTTGCTTTCGTACCAGAGGAACACCCCCAGCAACGACCCACTCCACTGCTCTCCCAACAACACCCACTCCTCTCCTCTCCTCTCCCCTTCACAAGGCAGCCAGTTAGTTGCTTTCGTACCAGAGGAACACCCCCAGCAACGACCCACTCCACTGCTCTCCCAACAACACCCACTCCTCTCCTCTCCTCTCCCCTTCACAAGGCAGCCAGTTAGTTGCTTTCGTACCAGAGGAACACCCCCAGCAACGACCCACTCCACTGCTCTCCCAACAACACCCACTCCTCTCCTCTCCTCTCCCCTTCACAAGGCAGCCAGTTAGTTGCTTTCGTACCAGAGGAACACCCCCAGCAACGACCCACTCCACTGCTCTCCCAACAACACCCACTCCTCTCCTCTCCTCTCCCCTTCACAAGGCAGCCAGTTAGTTGCTTTCGTACCAGAGGAACACCCCCAGCAACGACCCACTCCACTGCTCTCCCAACAACACCCACTCCTCTCCTCTCCTCTCCCCTTCACAAGGCAGCCAGTTAGTTGCTTTCGTACCAGAGGAACACCCCCAGCAACGACCCACTCCACTGCTCTCCCAACAACACCCACTCCTCTCCTCTCCTCTCCCCTTCACAAGGCAGCCAGTTAGTTGCTTTCGTACCAGAGGAACACCCCCAGCAACGACCCACTCCACTGCTCTCCCAACAACACCCACTCCTCTCCTCTCCTCTCCCCTTCACAAGGCAGCCAGTTAGTTGCTTTCGTACCAGAGGAACACCCCCAGCAACGACCCACTCCACTGCTCTCCCAACAACACCCACTCCTCTCCTCTCCTCTCCCCTTCACAAGGCAGCCAGTTAGTTGCTTTCGTACCAGAGGAACACCCCCAGCAACGACCCACTCCACTGCTCTCCCAACAACACCCACTCCTCTCCTCTCCTCTCCCCTTCACAAGGCAGCCAGTTAGTTGCTTTCGTACCAGAGGAACACCCCCAGCAACGACCCACTCCACTGCTCTCCCAACAACACCCACTCCTCTCCTCTCCTCTCCCCTTCACAAGGCAGCCAGTTAGTTGCTTTCGTACCAGAGGAACACCCCCAGCAACGACCCACTCCACTGCTCTCCCAACAACACCCACTCCTCTCCTCTCCTCTCCCCTTCACAAGGCAGCCAGTTAGTTGCTTTCGTACCAGAGGAACACCCCCAGCAACGACCCACTCCACTGCTCTCCCAACAACACCCACTCCTCTCCTCTCCTCTCCCCTTCACAAGGCAGCCAGTTAGTTGCTTTCGTACCAGAGGAACACCCCCAGCAACGACCCACTCCACTGCTCTCCCAACAACACCCACTCCTCTCCTCTCCTCTCCCCTTCACAAGGCAGCCAGTTAGTTGCTTTCGTACCAGAGGAACACCCCCAGCAACGACCCACTCCACTGCTCTCCCAACAACACCCACTCCTCTCCTCTCCTCTCCCCTTCACAAGGCAGCCAGTTAGTTGCTTTCGTACCAGAGGAACACCCCCAGCAACGACCCACTCCACTGCTCTCCCAACAACACCCACTCCTCTCCTCTCCTCTCCCCTTCACAAGGCAGCCAGTTAGTTGCTTTCGTACCAGAGGAACACCCCCAGCAACGACCCACTCCACTGCTCTCCCAACAACACCCACTCCTCTCCTCTCCTCTCCCCTTCACAAGGCAGCCAGTTAGTTGCTTTCGTACCAGAGGAACACCCCCAGCAACGACCCACTCCACTGCTCTCCCAACAACACCCACTCCTCTCCTCTCCTCTCCCCTTCACAAGGCAGCCAGTTAGTTGCTTTCGTACCAGAGGAACACCCCCAGCAACGACCCACTCCACTGCTCTCCCAACAACACCCACTCCTCTCCTCTCCTCTCCCCTTCACAAGGCAGCCAGTTAGTTGCTTTCGTACCAGAGGAACACCCCCAGCAACGACCCACTCCACTGCTCTCCCAACAACACCCACTCCTCTCCTCTCCTCTCCCCTTCACAAGGCAGCCAGTTAGTTGCTTTCGTACCAGAGGAACACCCCCAGCAACGACCCACTCCACTGCTCTCCAGTGTCGCTGTTGGTCACAATGAGAGAGAGCATGTGGCAGGGGCGGTAATGTCCCCAACCCCAGCACCCATGTCCCCTTGTACGGCAGCCAGCTAGTTGCGTTCATGCCAGAGGAACATCCCCAGCAGCGACCCACTCCACTGCTCTCCAGCGCCGCTGTTGGCAACAATGAGAGAGAGAGACACACACACACAGAGGGACCATTCGAGCGACACAGCACCCCAGGCAACCTCCCCTTCACGAGGCAGACAGCTAGTTGCCTTCATACCAGACGAACACCCCCAGCAGCGGCCCACTCCACTGTTCTCCAGTATCGCTGCTGGCAACAACGAGAGAGAGTGATGTGGCAGGGGCGGTGGCATATGGTGGGGTTACTGGCATGAAGTTGCTGCTGTCTCTGCTGCCGCTGCTGCTGCTGCTGTCGTTATTGTCAATGTCATCCCCGTTATAATCACTGCTGCTACTGTCACCGCTATTGTAACTGTCCTGGTCGTTATAGTCACTGCTGTTGTCGCCACTGCTGCTGCTGTCGTCACTGCTGCTGCTGTCGTCACTCCCATCGTTGCCACTGAGATTGTCACTGTCCTCATTGTCCCCGTTGTCATCGCTACCATCATCACCACTATAGTCACTGCTGCTGCTGCCACTGCTGCTGCTGCCACTGCTGCTGCTGCCACTGCTGCTGCTGCTGCCACTGCTGCTGCTGCCACTGCTGCTGCTGCCACTGCTGCTGCTGCCACTGCTGCTGCTGCCACTGCTGCTGCTGTCACTGCTGCTACTGTCACTGCTGCTGCTGCCACTGCTGCTGCTGTCGTCACTGTCCTCATTGTCAGCATTGTCATCGCTGCCATCATCGTTATAATCACTGCTGCTATTGTCACTGCTATTGTCACTGCTATTGTCACTGCTATCGTCACTGCTATCGACACTGCTGCTGTTGTAATCACTGCTGCTGTCACTGCTGCTATCATCACTCCCCACTTTGGCACTGAGGTCGTCACTGTCCTCATTGTTCTCCTTGTCATCGCTCCCATCGTTACCGTCACCAGTGCCCTCCTCCCTCTCCTCCTCCCTGCTCTCCCCACTCCCTTCATCCACACTCTTAACCGCAAACAGGCTCTTGAACCATGCGTCTGCTGCCTCCCACAACCCCCTCCCCCGCCTCTTCCCCACACTACCACTACTCACACCAAACCTCCTCCCATAACCATATCCGTTACTGTTACCATATCCGTTTCCGTTACCATTTCCGATTCCATTCCCAGGACCATACCCCTGGCCCCATCCCGTTACACGGTTACCCCAGTCCTCAGGTACAGTAGCATTGGGAACGCCGGCCTGAATATCCTCGATAGTAGCAGCATCGACACCCTCTAATGTGTCAAAGAGCCAAGCTACAGTAACTGTGGTGTAGATACCCCACCTGGCGGGGCCGCCCGTTGAGTTGGCGAGCTCCCATTGGTCGGCGGCAACGGGGAAAGAGAAGAGGGCGGGGGCGGAGCTGTTGCAGCTGGTGCTGCTCTTAACGAGTGTGATTGTATCAGGGACGGAGGAGGCAGAGGTAATGTTACGGATAATCACGGTGTAATGTACGTTGAAATGGCCAGTGGCGTTCCTGGTGGATTGGGATAGAGGGACGAAAGCGAATTAAATTTCAAGTGAGAAGGATTTAAATCGAATATTAATGTATGAGATGATCCTAACCATACGCACGCAGCAATAAAAAACCCCTTTCTGTCATGAAATGATGTTGTCAACAATCATAATGTGGACCATACAATGGATGAAATGGAGTGACACGGAAAAGAGACATCACTCATTATTGACTGTAAATGTGGAGAGTGGTAGTTACAGAAAGACGATCTTACTTGAAGATGGAGAGGAAAAAGGAGCCTCCGGACAGCAGAGGAGCATCAGGAGAGCAGCTGGAGAGGGACGCTCTCACCCAACCTGTTATAAGCACGATCACATACAAGCACAATCGCATACAAACACAGTCACATAGAAACACACAGTAGCGTTTGTAAGCACATGTCGTCACATTCAAATTTACATGAACATGAGAAAGAAGTTGGCCAAACACCCCCCCCCCCCCAAAAAAAAATGTTATGCCCGAAACTCTCACCTGTCATGTTTCCGAGGGCAGGGTCAGCAGCGCCACACGCGAATCCTCCCCCTCCACTGCTGTTGACAAACGGGCCACCACCACTGCTCCCATTCACGCACGGCCCAGATCTGTTGCAGCAGAATGTGGAGCCATCCAAGCTGTTCACACACGGACCCATCCCAGATCCATTACCATATCCGTACCCGTTCCCGTTCCCGTTTCCGTTTCCGCTACCACCGCCAAAACCGCCACCAGCGCCAGGGCCATACCCACTGCTGTTCCTGTTCCTGCAAGGCCACGTGGAGCTGTTAAACGCCTCCACGTCATCCTCCTCCCACCACCACGGACCGATACCCCGGCCGAATTCCCGCCCGAATCCCGCGCCCCTCCCAAACCCGCGACCAAACCCTCCCCTTCCGCATCCAGATCCGTTATTGCAAGCTCCCGTTCCGTTAAAGCACGGCCCTGTTCCGTTAACACAAGGTGCAGTGCCGTTTTCATCCAGCCACCAGGGACCTCCGAAGCCCCAGCCAGATCCATCCCCGTTATAGCACGGCCCGGTTCCGTTCAAGCAGCGCGGCGCAGTAGCGTTCTCATCCAGCCACCACGGCCCCCCAAATCGGCCGCCTGTCGCGTTCGTATCCAGCCACCAGGGTCCCCATCGACCCGTGGCGTTGAAGCAAGGGCTGCTTTCGTTCCAGCATGGATGATTCTCGTCCGTCGCGTTCGTGTCCAGCCACCAGGGTCCAGATAGGCCCGTTGTGTTGGCATCCAGCCACCAGGGCCCCCCAAATCGGCCGCCTGTCGCGTTCGTATCCAGCCACCAGCGTCCAGATAGGCCCGTTGCGTTGCCGTCCAGCCACCAGGGCCCCCCAAATCGACCTGCTCCGTTATTGAACCCTCCGTTTCCGTGAAAAGGCTGCCCAGGAAGAGCGCCATCAGAAGAAGACTCGTTATTGTCATCGTCGTCCCACCAAGGGCCGTTGCCACCGCCTCGACCAAATCCGTTGCCGGCACCTTGACCGGGGCCATAGCCACTGCCTCCCTGACACGGGCCGCCAGGCCCATTCACGCAAGGCCTGGGAGAAGCGCCGTCAGAAGAAGAGACATTATCGTCGTCGTGGTCGTCGTCCCACCAAGGGCCGTTGCCACCGCCTCTACCAAATCCATAGCCACCATTCCCTTGGGTCGGAGACCCAGTTCCGTTCACCGGTCCATTCATGCAAGGCCTGGAGCCATCTCCGTTATAGCATGGCCCGGTTCCGTTCAAGCAGGGCGCTGTGGCGTTCTCGTCTAACCACCAGGGCCCCACGCCCCAACCGCCCGATTCGTTATAGCATGGCCCGGTTCCGTTCAAGCACGGTGCTGTGGCGTTCTCGTCCAACCACCAGGGCCCCCAACCGTCCGTTACTTCCGTTACGTTGTGACACGGCCCCAATTCGCTGAAGCACACATGAGTCCCGTTGAAAAACCGAGGCCCGTTCATGCCGTTGCCGTAACCGTTCCCGTTCCCATAACCATTACCGTTGCCGTTACCGTTACTGCTCTCGTCACCATCATCGTCCCACCAAGGTCCCGGGCCATACCCAGCACCAGCGCCAGCGCCAGCAGCACCACCACCTCCGCCGTTCCTGTTCCCGTTGCCAGGTCCGGGGGTATAGTAGTTGTCACTTCCGCTGCTGTCGTCGCTGCTACTACTGCCGTCGCTGCTGTAGTCTCTTCCGTCAGCGTAATCGTAGGAGTAACCGTTACCGCTGTTACCACCGCCTCCCTGGCCGTTACCTCCGCCGCCGCCCCATCCGTTGCCACCAGGCCCGCGACGAGCCAGGACTGCAGGTGAGGAAGCGGGGAGGGAGCGAGAGAGGGAGAGAGAGAGGGGAGAGACAGGGGCGCGTTTGTAGGAGTAACAGTTACTGCCGTTTCAGGGCGCCGCCCTGAAAGGGACACCAAAAACACTGCCGTACCTGGTGACACGAGCAGCAGCGCGACGCAGAGGAACGCGACCCAGTGGCGCGCCATTCTTGGGCCGGGACGGGATGCGTTTGAAGGAACCAACTGCCTCTGCGGTAGTCACTCCGAAATGCGCAGTATCAACTTGATCGTAAGTGAAAGTGCTCCTTTCGAGCCTCGAACGAAAGAGTTTCAGACTGTATTCGTGGTCATCTATCTGCGGGTTTCTTTCGCTGGGCAATGCGGATGTCTTTTGAGGGCTCTTGTAATGATCGACTCTCGGTACCGGCCTTTATATACTTCTCCCTCTCAATCCCGCGTCGACGGGGAACACGACCACCTAACCACTCAACCATCGCGGCGGAAAGAGTCAGGTACAGTATTACTGTAGTACTAGTTCGTAGTATGGGCGCGTTTTCCGCCGCCGCCGCCTCTGGCTCACGGGGGATGATGCGATGCGATGCCTCGTCTAAAAAGGGCGCAGCGGAGAATCCTCCTCCCGTTTCCCCCTTTCCGCAATTTCCCCTCCCCATCCCCCACCCCCACCCACCCCCAGCACTGGCAACGCCAGCTTCTTGCGACTAGGAACCTTCGCGAGAAAGTGATGCGAAGCCCTAAGCGCTTGGTCAACGCGAACTTTCATTGTGGCGCGGCGCGGTATGCGACGGATCTAGGTCTGGTCTGAAGTTCTTGATGTATCTAGCACTGCTCAACTGCGGGGTATGAGAAAAAGACTCTGTGAGAGTGATTTGCGATGGCAGGGAACGACCGGCGGATGGCTCACTCTGGAAACTTGCGCGCAAGTTGCGCTGGCGGCGCTTGTTCAACGCGAACTTTCCTCGTAAGGCGGCGTGCGTCGACCAGGTGCGACCGGTTCCAGAATCGACCTCTGTCTCGCCAGAAACGCCCCGAACCAATCGATTAATGTCAAGTCAAACCCCCAAGAAAAGGATTTGCGAGCCGAGATGGCAGCTCCACGACCACTGCGCGCCGATTACGCTACGAGCCTACCCAGTCGCAACCTATTCGCGCTGCTGTGCTGTTCAAATAACCACTGGCGTGTGACCTTTCCAACCAGAACCTTCGTGAGAAAGCACACCTCGCGTCGCGTCGCGAAGCGAGAGGTTCCTGCCAGCAACTAGCCATGCCAAGCCGCTCTTGTGGGCCAGGCAGGCGCAAGCATGCGGCATGGCTGACTGGGTGAGCGGTGAAGGTTCTGACGAAAATGCCTGCTTTCGTTTTCGGCGATCTGGACGAAAATCTAGGTGCTGTTCGCCAGCACATCGTTTTTTATATTGAAAAAAACGGCATCAGCGTCGTGACCGCATATGGAAACGGGGGTGGAACCCTCCTTCGTGGTTTGGGCGAAATGCCGCCCGAGAAACTACGCGCGCCCAAAAGGAGAAATTTTGCAACCGCGTCGGGAAGGTCCGTCATACCCCACCTTCCCCCCAATGGCGCGAAATTTGCACATCACTGACCCACCTGCTGCCCGCTGACCAAAAAAGGCTCAACGTGGGTAAAAAACGCAAATAAAACGCACCCCGCTCAAACACAACTCCCCCCACCCCGCGCTCAGTTCCAGACACAACTCACACTCCACAAACACCTTTAGGGTATACTTGTACCCCTGCGTCAAACTGAAGGCTTGTTCGAGGGTTCCCCTGCACAGCAATGCGTCCGCGGTGCCACCGCTGTGCCACCGCTGTGCTTCGAAAAACGCGGCATGACGATGGCATTGCAAGGGGATGGTGTTTTGCCTGTGGCGGAAGTTTCGTCCCCGCTTCCATATGCCGTCGAAATGTAAAAATTGGTGTACAAAAGTGGGCGTTCGCCAGACGCCCAGTTTGTTAAATGGTTCGGACGGTTGGTGAGGCTCGGCACATTTTTCACGGGCTGACCAAGCTGACGGAGGTTAACGAACTCTAACTGACGGGATCAGGAAGGCGAGACCCACCTTCCTGATCCCGTTGATATGCCGTCATTTTTAGTTATAATGGTGCTGGCGAACAGCACCCTAGTGTTACGGAGGAGGATCACATTTCCTAATGGTTCTTTATGCGTTAAAAGGGGATGTGCAATGTTGAGGAACTAGTTTATTACCGAGACTTTCATTGTCGAACTCTGGGGCTTCGATTGTGAAAAGCAATGCGTGGCAACCGCGGCACGACTTTCGGCGGGGTTTGCCGCAGGATTCAGGTTTGCCTCACAATCCCGAGCCGTCAGACCCACTGATGCCTGCGAGCCGCGCAAGGGAACCGAACCAAATGCGTCAGGCAAGGGATGCTATGGGGCGAAGCGAAGGCAAGGTGCTTGCTTTGGTACTCCAAACCTCCTCATCTGAGCCAACGAGGTCTTGACACCAACGGCTATCCTAACCAGGAACTGGGCCCTCGAACCAC